GGCAGCGGCTGCCGCCCGGCCACGGGCACCAGCGGCGGGGCGGCGCCCTCGGCCTCCACCGCCGCGGGCTCGCGGGCCTCGCCCGCGGACGGGCTCGAGGGCGGCGGCGCCGCGGGCGGCGCCGAGGAGGGGCGCGCGCGCTGGAGGAGCGCGGTGCAGGCCCTCGCTGTCGCCGTCGTCGTCGTCGTCGTCGTCGCCGCCGTCGTCGTCGTCGTCGTCGTCGTCGTCGTCGTCGTCGTCGTCGTCGTCGTCGTCGTCGTCGTCGTCGCCCTCGTCGTCGTCGTCGTCGCAGTGGTTGATTCCCTCCCGCGGGTCCAGGGTCAGGAACCCTGCCTCGGAGACCCAGACCCTCTCGCGCCGTGAGCAGATCGCGGCGGGGAAGTTTTGTTTTCGCTGCTTGTTTTGGGCCTCAGGGGCCTTCGCCGGGCCTCGGGGGCGTCAAGAAACTGCCGAGAGCGAGAAGCCGGTCCCGGGGAAGGGGTCCAGGCTCCTGGGGGTGGATCGGGACGTGAACCGGCGGCGAGCGCGTGCGCTGGAGTAGCGCGGTGCAGGCCCTCCAGCACTGCCTCAAAGAAGATTTCGTGAAGTCGGGCATGTCCCCCACTACAGGAAGAGTAATCAGAAATAGTCAAACAAGTTTTGGGACGATCTTTCTCCTATTTTGGAGCATTTTTTTTTGGGGGGGGGGGGCACATTTTTATTTTCCTATTTAAATCCGCCTGTAGGAGGACACGCCTAATCTAACTCCAGCCTCCCAGATAGGGTCGGAGTAGATGGTGTCGGAGCATCGCGCCGCATCGCCGATGCATCGCCGATGCGGCTCGATGTGGAGCCCGATTTTCTCCACCCGTGGCGTCGCCTATGCACCGCCGCTGTCGCCGATGCATCGCCGATGCATCGGCGATGCATCGGCGATGTATCGGCGATGCGGTGCGATCCTGCGACCCCCTCTACTCCGACCCCATCTAGGAGGCCTCTAAGCACTGCCTCGAAGAAGATATCGGCGGCCAGCCGGGGGGGGGGGGGAAGTGAGAGGGGGCTCCGAGCAGGGAAAAGGCACCCCTACCTGTACCCTTTCCTCGTCTTTCCCTTTTGGAGCCTCCTGGGAGGCCCTCGTCACCACCGCTGGATTGGCTTCGAAATTCTGGCCAGAACGCGCCCCGGGAGAGGTCTGGGGAGTGGCGGTATCGGTACCTTTTGACTTCCCCAGGGGCGGGCCTTCCCAAAAGGCTAGGAATTCCTCCGGCCTTCCGAAGGAGGTTTCCGAAGCTTTCCCCGAAGACACGGGAAACTTCTCGGAAGGCTGGCTGGCTTCTGAGAAGCCCCGCCGGCTTCTGAGGAGGCCTTCTCCTTCTCACTTCCCCCCCCCTCGCTCGCCGCCGAAGACGCAGCGGCATCGCGAGCCCTCGTCGCCGCGGCTGGAGTCGCCTCCACGTTCTCGTCAGAACGCCCCTCCCACTCCCTCCTCCCCCTTTGGCCTGGGCGGGGCGCGCCGCGGGGCGATCAGGGGAGAAGACATGTACTCGAGGAGCTAACGTTGAGTCGAGCACGTCCCTCTACAGGAGGAATATGCAAAACTAATCAAGATAGTATGAGAGGGAGGAGGAGGAGGAGGAGGAGGAGGAGGAGGAGGAGGAGGAGGAGGAGGAGGAGGGGAGGAGGAGGAGGAGAGGGGAGATGCAGGAGAGGAGGGGATGGGGGAGAAAGGGGGGGGGAGGAGGGAGGAGGAGGAGGAAGAGAGGCGGAGGAGGAGAGGAGTAGGAGGAGTAGGAGGAGGAGGAGTAAGGAGGGGAGGAGAGGAGGAGGAGGAGGAGGAGGAGGGAGGTGGAGGAGGAGGGGAGGAGGAGGAGGCAGGAGGGAGGAGGAGGCAGGAGGAGGAGGAGGAGGAGGAGGAGGACCAGTGTAAACCCAAGAGTCCTCAACGATGTTTGAGCAAACCCTCTCCCAAGCTCCCTCTTCATATGCCCCTACAGCGGTTCATTTCCATTGAAGGAACTGCCTCGTTGGAAGGCAACCGTTTGAAGACCCTGAAGAACGCCAAAACATAGTTCTCGGTATTCCAACGCCACGTATCAATCTGACTGTTGCATCTTGATGATCCTGAATCGTGCCAGGACGTCATTCCTGGGACTTCAACACCGCGAACCAACGTAACTGTTGCACCCGCACAGTCTTGAATCCCGCCAAAACACTGTTTCTGGTACGTTGATCATGGGAACCCGTGAGCCTCTTGCAAAGATTATAAAGGAATGTGCGCGGCGCTAAGGCGAGAACCACATTTTCATAAGGAACCGCCCTCCATCCGTGAAGCTCTTGCATTTTTTTGAAACACATGTGCGCGTCGCTAAGGCGAGAGCCACTATTGAAAACGACTCGCCCTCACTCCGTGAAGTCTTCGTCAATGTTTAAAGCGAATGTGCGCGGCGCTGAGGCGAACGCCGCATTTTGAAAACGACCCGCCCTCCATCTGTGAAGCTGTTGCCAATTCTTAAGCTTCAGAGCTTCAGAGTCACAAATGGTGAGGAAATCTCAGGCGAAGCGCCCGGCCCGCCCCAAAAACTGGCCTCGAGGTGCGACAGGGAGAAGTTACTTATAAGGACAAGGATTGGAGGCGGAGGACGAGGACGAGGAGGAGGAGGAGGAGGAGGAGGAGGAGGAGGAGGAGGAGGAGGAGGAGGAGGAGGAGGAGGAGGAGGAGGAGGAGTAGGAGGAGGGGAGGAGGGGAGGAGTAGGAGAAGAATGAGGAGGAGGAGGAGGAGGTGGAGGAGGTGCGCAGGCGTACTGCTGGAGCAACCGCCACAGCCCGCGTGGACCCGCCTCGCTGGCGGGGCCGGACGAGCTGCCCGAGCCCTGATCCGTTGCGGTTGCGGTGGCGGCCGCTGGCACCTCTCGAGCCAAGGGAGCTCCGCGTCCCAAAGAGGCTTTGGGGCTGAGACCCGAGGGTTAATGCGAGCCGCGTGCGTTGCAAATGCGATTTGGGGGGCCCTCTCGGCACGTTGGAGCCCTCCCTCCTGTTGCTGCTCCTGGGAGGCCCCCAGGAGTCTCCCAGGAGGCTCAAAGAGTGCCCCAAGAGGCTCCTCGCCCTCCTCCTCCTCCACCTCCTCCTCCACCTCCCCTCCTCCCTCCTCCCTCCCCCTCCTCCACCTCCCCCTCCTCCCCCTCCTCCCCCTCCTCCTCCTCCTCCTCCTCCTCCTCCTCCTCCTCCTCCTCCTCCTCCTCCTCGTCTTTCTTGCCGACGCCTTGGAGCCCCCGTTCGAGCGCTCTGAGAAGGTCGCGGCGCCCGAGACATCCTCCCTAGCCGCCGGATCCCAGAGATTCTCGATTTATCCTCACCCGATTGATCATCGTCCTGGCTTCGTCTTACATTTCAAATCCTGTGTGTGGGTGTGTTCTAGGCGCCGGGTCTAAGCACCCCTGCGTGCGCTGCATGTGCCAGCTTCGCCTGCCCGGCCACTGAGCTGGGTGCCTTTCCCTGTGCCGTCGCCTGAATGGTGCAGCCAACCCTCTGCAACGCCTGGTGGGATTCACGGTACCCAGACCCCCTCGTGTTGTGAAACAATCACGACGGAAGGTTTTTCTGTATTTTCGGCTTCTAGGGCCTCTTACCAGGACTCGGGATCGTCAAACAGCGACTCAGGATGAAGAACGGATCTGGGGGAAGGGGCTCTGACCTCTGGGGGTCGACGTTGGACAAAAAAGCACGACGCCGGAGGTCTGGATAGCATGTGCCCCATGGTATCACTCGCTACGGTGACGCCACCTGGCCTGCTGAGGAAAAAGTGCGCTTGTATGAGAGAGGGATGACGTACATATATATATATATATATATATATAGATAGATATACACATCATGTGTATATCCACACATACACAAGACTGCATTGGCGCTTCGCGCCATGCACCTTGGTTCTTTTCAAGGTTTGTATGCAGGCGGAATGGCAGGAAGGTCCAGCCGACAATTTAGCGATCACTTCTTGTTGCCTTTTCCGGCATCGCCGTTATGATGATTTTATTCGTTATCCTTCCTCCATGTTTCCTTTTCCTCGCTCTCGCCATACCCTGCGTATTATCCCCATCCTCCTCAGCTCTTTTTTCGGAGGCTCCTCCTTGGAGAGCCTCTGGGGGCCTCATAAGAGTTTCCAGGCTTTCTTAAGGCCTCCTGGAGGCCTCCTGGGCGTCTCCTGGGGGCCTCTGGGGGGCTTCCTCGGGCCACTGCCTCCGACCGCGGCCTCCCTGGACGACCGGGTCACGATTTGGAGTGCCTCGGACGGTGTCTTAGGGCACTCTTGAGCCGTCATGGGGCCCTCTCAGACCATCTCGGAACCCTGTTGCGCCGTCTTGGGGCTCTCTCGGACTGTCTGGAAGCCCTTTCGGATGGTTGTGGGGTGATCTTCGAGCCTCCCAGGCGGCTTCGGACGCCCAGAAGACCGCCGTCTTGGCGCGTCGAGAAGCCGAAAAGAGGAGAACCCCCAAATTCACCAAGAGGAGAACCCCAATTGCCTCTTGGGGCCTTCTTGGGAGTGCTCGCTTCTTGGGACGTTCTGGAGCGATCATTGGGAGTATGACGGCTTCTTTGGGGTCGTCGTGGACCGTCTTGGGGCTCTCTGGGGTCGTTTCGGGAGCGCGCCAGAACACCGGGAGGCCTCTGGGGCCGTTTTCGGGCTCTCGTGGGCGAAGATTCTCTTTGACCTTCCCCATGACACCACTGCCGATTCTATATATATATATATATATAAATATGTACAAATACATACATATAGGATGAGCCTCGATGTAGTCTGGTCAGGGTGTGAGCAGAGGGGGGGAGGAAGAACTGGGTGAACAAGAAGCGGGGGGACAGGAGTGGTCGCGGTCCAGCGCCCTCGAGTCAGAGACCTGTGGCTGCACTAACCATCCGTGCAAATCTGCTTCGACAAGCCGTGGGGCCCGTCTGGGAGCCACTTCCGGTCAAGGCACGCACAAGTTGAGAGCCTGACTTGGCAGCAGGCGTGAGATTCCATCTCTCGTTCCCACCGTTGCCGCAAGGCTTCTGCACGGGTGTCCGCGAGTTCAGCTATGATGTCGGGGCCAGAGGCGAGGGACGAGGAGGAAGAGGAGGAGGAGGAAGAGGAGGAGAAGGAGATGGAGGAGAAAACGCCCCCTGGGTTCGGGGATCTCTGGCTGAGCTTTCATTGCCGAGAGCTCAGCGATGGAGTGCAACGTTTCGAGCACCTGTTCTTCTGAGGGCGCACTGAGCTGGGATCCGTGACCTTCTTGATACGTGGACTTGTACAGGCACCTGGACAAGACGAGCGGACCGCGAAGTCTGGTCCCATCCAATCTCGGGCGCCTCTGGTGAACTCGACGAAAGTGCCGAAGCATGTCCGAAACCTTGGCATGAACCTCGTCAGAGTCCCGAGACACGAGCGAGGGAACCACTGCATCCATTTGGACTTTGCTCCGAACCCTGCACATAGCCTCTGGGAGGACCTTTTTGGGTGCAATTCTTTAGCGATTGCTGGCGGAGTCCTAGTCGACACATGTTGAACGAACTCTGGAACCGTGGCTGCATTTTTCGCCTCCAGGCGCATTCAAAATAATGCACTGTGGCGAGCCTGGCCTGACAGCCAGGATCCCTGTCGGCGCACCGCCATCAGCCTGACCGAACTCACACTGGTCGGATTCCGTACACGCGCCACAGGGGGAGCGAGAAATCGCTTTCACAGGGCGAAAGCTCCAAGTTGGCACCGCCCTGGGATCCCACAGATCAGAGGAGGAAAATGTCCCCATACCGCTGCCCTTCCCTCGTTTTCCTCTTTTCGCGCCTCCTGGGAGGCCCTCGTCGCCACCGCTGGATCCGCCTCGAAGTGCTGGTCAGAACCCACCCCGGGAGAGGTCTGGGGAGTAGCGGTATCGGTACCTTTAGGTCTCCCCAGCAGAAGGGGGCGCTGGGTGTTCTCCCCAGCCGCTTCCCCCTAGCTCCACAGCGAGAGCCGCCAGCAGTTCCATGCGCGCCACGGACAGCACACTAGAAGTCTGCACCTGGAGACGCTGCCTGTAGGAGTGCTCGCCGCTATAAAACCTAGAATCCGATTGAACAAAAACTGCGACTAATATCATTTGATGCAACAACTTTGATTACTCAACTTGCAAAACAAATGAAATCTGTAAGCCGAAGACCGCAGTCCCCCCCAAGGGGATGGCCAGGATCGCAGGTGCGGGGGGGGGCCCTGGTCCTTGCACCGTGCCGCCGGGTCTCGCGCGGGCCCCCCCCCCCCCCCACGCGGAAGAGCGCCTGGGAGCGCCTGGGAGCGCCCGGAAGCGCCGGGGAGCGCCCGGGAGCGCCTGGAAGCGCTGGGGAGCGCCTGGGAGCGCCTGGGGAGCGCCTGGGAGTGCCTGGGAGCGTCTGGGAGCGCCTGGGAGCGCCTGGGAGCGCCTGGGAGGAGCGCCTGGGAGCGCCTGGGCTTCCAGGGCCGCCACTGGTCAGCCCTGGTGTGCTCCCTCCACGCCATGGCCGCTGTGGATCTGAGAGGTTTGCGGCCCGTGCCGCCGGTCTGGGGCGCTCCCGTTGGTCACGTCGCGGGCTGGCCGTGGGGCCAGGGGTTGGCTGGCAGTTGGCTTGTAGAAAAGGCGGGGGCCCATGCCAAGAAAGACCCTGCTTGCCTCCAGGGTGCCCTGGGCTTCTTGGGTTTCGACGGTTTGGCCATGGAAAGTGTGCTGTTCCCACACCAAACATCGATGGACGTCCTGGGGTCTCAGGGTTGGGTCTCTTGTGGAAGGTTTCTTGTGGTCGGGCCCCTACTTCGAGTAGGAGATCGACAACATAATTGACTTACTCCGAAATTCTAGACGCTTCGCGTATCCCCACCAGCCCCCCTCCCCGCCGCCTGATCCGCGGCCCCGCGCGCGCTCGGCAATTTAGTCGCGGCCGTAGCCCGCCCGCGACCTCCCGCCGCTGGCGCTTCCGCCTGCGGCTGTTAAAAAAATATATCCCCACCAGCCCGTCCAGAAACGACGCCCAGGCGAGTAGAGGGTCGTCCTGAGGGGCTTTTCGGCGTCTTGGGTGCCTCGGGGGGGCCTCTGTGGGGGCCGTTCGGGATCCTCTTTGGGGCCTCCTGGGGGCCTCTTGGGGGCCTCTTGGGGCCATCTTGGGGCCTTTGGGGGCCTCCTGGGCGCTTCTTGGGGCCATCTTTGCCCCTTGGGTGCCTCTGGGGGGTCTCTTGGGGTCTCTTGGGGGTCTCTTGGGGGCCTCCTTGGGGCCTCTTGGGGGGCCTCTTGGGGCCTTGAAGGCCCTGCTGGGGCGCTCTTGGGGCAATTTTGGAGGACATCGGCCAAGGAAGTGGGGTTCCTTAATTAGAGCCTCCCCCCAGGAGCTCCAAAAATCGCTTCCTGGACCCCTCTTGGATCGCTCTTGGAGCGCTCGTGGCCGCTCTTGGCGCCATCCTGAGGCTCTCTTGACTTTAAACGGAGAAGGTTAAAGGCGAGGTATATATCGAGCATGCACCGCTGCCGTGCCTGGCTCAAGCCGGGCCCGGCCTAATATGTGACTGTGCCTCACCGAGGCGCACGACTTGTATCTGAGATCGGAAAATACCTTTTCCATTGAAGATGCCCCTTTTATCCTTTACTCCAGATCCCATGCTTCGTCTCGCTCTCTTGCTCATGCGATATGAGCCAAAGCCTGGGATATGGTTACGCTTAAGGCGTAACACTTACCTAAGCCTACCAGTGCGTTTTCGACTTGGTAGCGGAGCTGGCTACACTCTCGTGTGGCTGGCTCTCGCTCTGATTCCAGTAATCCACGGCACAACTTGGTGGACTACTACTACGGTGGAATACCATGTTGCGCCGGCTCTGCGAGGAGCGGAGCCAGTCCGCGACCGAGCTAGCGGGGCGACCCGCGAGCTCGAAACGCTCTCTCCTACTTCACTGCGCTACTTCACTCTCGACTTCCACCAGATGCCAATCGGCAACTCGATCGAGAACGTGGTCACCCTGCGGGGCTACCCGCAGCGGGGCCACCTGCATCCCGTGCCAGTCAGGCGCCTCACGGCTACTACGCCAGAGCCTGACAAACCACAGCCTAAACCAATCACCGAAGCCGAAATGCACATGCACTGGATTAAGATAACTATCTTCGGCATTCTGTGGGTAATAATGGGATGTGCTGTGGGATACATGCGGCAGGGGATGGACGACACGCGTACTACCGGCCCTTCGTGGGACCCTGCCGGTACTACGCCTTTTCGCGAATACGTTCGCGAAGTACATGCATGGATAAACGTAACGAGCGGCAATATGACGCCACCTCAACAAGCTGCAGCACTACAACGAGGCCTTCAAGGTCTTGCTCGTCGTATCGCCATGCAGGTCCCCTCCCAGATCATCAACTATGGTGTAACTGTCAACGGACAGCCAACGGATGCAGTTACTTATATACTGTACCTATTGAGCACCAAATTTGAAAATCTGGAAGATGAGCGCCAGCTCAACTCTGGCACTGCCCTTATCGACTTTCGCGTCGAAAGGGGCGAGCGAATCGACTCAGTGTTAGCTCGATTCGAGATGGCCCGTGACGAGGCTAACTCTGTTGGCTTTGTCATCCCCAACTTTCAGATCCTAACGCTGATCCTTTTCAGAGCGTTAGGCGTTGGCGCGTCACGAGCCCAACACCTGCTGGAGCCCTTTAATCATCAGATGCCCAGAACACAAGCAGACTATGACAGGCTGCTGACCAGGATGAGGAACTACGGACATGTTGCCGAGCGCTCTCCTGGCAACATTGCGGGTATCTTCAC